GTTTATTCAGATGCGAAACCTAGTGATATAACCTTTTTCTACCAGCCGATATATTTGGCTTCTTTGTGTCCAGTTAAATTGCCTGGTGTTAGCCTTATACAGCCTTTTAAGTAAACATGTTTCTTTCTTACCACCTTCCCTAGTTATAAAGTTGGCGTGGCATTTCCTCGGCGTAAAATATGCCGGCTTTCAAATCTTTGTTTCGAAACGTTGAGGAAAATTAAAAATCTCCGAATTAGCACAAGTTAACTTCAAATTTCAAGAGTTTTCTAATTTCTGTTCACTGATATAACACACGTGAAAAGGAAAACAAGAGACGTGCTTTTTGTTCTACAGATACGATTTTCAAATATATTTGTGTGTGTATTAAACTGAATACGTTTTTACTTATTTCGTAAAATAACTAATCAGTTGTAAGAACAATGGATTTCTTGTTTTAAAATTACTTTGATTTCTTTTTGTTTCTGTCCCTTGACACAAAATATGCAATGATAAACACAGCCAATTCATTCGACGTTAAGCGCCATCAGCACCATCTATGGCGTTAGTAACAAGATTTTCCACAATTTCTCGAAGAAATTCTATAAAATTCACAATTTAACACACTTAAAAATTTCTCTAAGGAAAAATTTAAATTACAGCTAATATACTATAACATCAGTTAGTAAAATTCTACACCAATATTTATACTTGATGTTCTAGCATTAAAATGTCTTTGCGAAGACTAGTGCCTTTTCAACAAATATTATTTTTTCTGTAATCAATCATTAAATATCTTTCAACAGATTGTTCAGTACTATATTTTTGTTTTAGTCTAAGTCATAAAACTCTATCAACAATATAAACATTGATAACTTAAATATCCATCCACTCATTTCTGTTATTTTAACAAAATATTAAATTTTCAGAAGTTTAACTGATTCTTTAAAAAATATCCTATGTAAAATATTTATAAAAAGTTAACTTTTAGGTGTTATTAAATCGTTTAGTTTGTCTAAGAAAAAAAATCCCTATATCATAAGCTTGAAACTGTAAACCAATATCAAGTTTTTGATAGTTGAGGGGTTCCTTTCGTTGGTAAGTTAGGTGAATGTTCAGCGACATGACCTTGACCTTTACAGCTTCTGCTGTGCACAACTAAACGGTTGGGAAAAAATGTACGACCACACCGAGAACAAGGTGCTAGTTGTTCCAAGTGGCTCTGCCAAGCGGCTTGGGCCATAGCAGCAAAGTCTATTGTACCGTCTTCTGGCAAAGCAAAACATAATGACGAAAGTATTAGTTTAAGTACTTTAATGAAAATCTTAATCATAACGGTAGAACAAGGTTTATGTTATATTTGGATACAACGCGTTCCTCACACAACTTACTAATTTGAACTTAGTTCTGCTGAAACTCTGAAGTTATAAATCTATTCTTAGTTTTCTAAGATAATTCCAAGTTTTCTATAAGCAAGTGACAAAACATCCAATTTATAGATTAAAAAGAATGGGAAGTTTAACATTTCTATATCATGTTATAACACTGATTATATCTGAAGTTGAAAAAAAAATTTGGCAGTTTAACCATTAAAAACAAATAAAACATAATCAGCATTAAATTTATCATTTTAACAGAATAAGATTTTCAGGAAGTTATTTTTTAACTTCAATTTAGCTAGACCTTACCTTTAAATACTGGTTCGGGTTTCTGGGGCTCTGGTCTCTGTATTTCTTTGGGAAGTTTTCTGTTTTCTATTTTCCATTTCTGTAGACACTGAGGCTCATGCAAGGAGATTGACGTGTTGTCAAATTCTCGACCACAAATATAGCAGGTGATAAGAGGGATTCTTTTAAGAACAGTTTCTTTCAGCCTTTGCTGTTGGTGCACAAAAATCTAAAAATAAGAATAAAAAACATTAAGCTCCCTTTTAATTATCTTAAAGCTTTCCAGCGCATACCACATAATTGATTTTCTAAGTTAAAGTATTTAGCAGAAACAGAAAAAAAAAATCAAATCATGTTTTCCTCTTTTACAAGATAGGTATTTTGGGGATTTAAATAAATAATTAGTTTATGCTACCTTTTTTCTTGAACTGCAAGTAACTATGGTCATTATTAATCAGTTCATTAACTATTAATCTGCTTCTTTTAGTAGTTTAGGTTTTTACGTCATGAAGAAGTCAGTTCGGAAATTACTAAACTTGTAAAAAGGGAAGTTTAATTTATCTTGGACTATTAAGTTGAATTCAGTAGAACTGTAACGTATTTAAAATAAAGTACATGGGTTTGCTGAAATGAGCAGGTGTTTCTATAGTTCTTTTTGAACAATGTCGCAGTCTACGGGAATCACTGAAGGCTGGACTCACGCAGCTATGACTATCAAATCTTGAAACCAATGTCTCCTATATTAATTTATGTAGTGTATTTGTTTGTCCACGAACTCCTCCCACCTGTTTTGGAGCAGGACCAAACTTGGCAGGCGGATTCGGGGTGTCCTTATCTAAATGGCTTAGCACCTCTACCTAAGGGTGGTTAAAATGCGCCCGGAATGTCATTTAGGCGTGATGGAAATCTAAGTGTAGGTTTTCAGGGTTGTTAAATCCGAATCTGGCATCTCATTTTGTATTCCTGGTCCCCCTCGGAATACTAGGGGCCTTTTTAAAATTTATTTATTAATGGTTTTAGTTTAGTTTAGAGGATGGAACAGCCGAAATGGACCAATAGGTCCCATGTTGTCCTAAAACGTTATGTTATGTTAATTCACTCTAGGCTAAGTCGCTTATTATGCTTGGCTGAAACTTATAAACCTTGGATAAAGTTCCAGACAATAAGACCTTGCACACCAATTTAAGTTAAACTTCCCTCTGGCTAAATAACAAGACAAATGTCTAGAAACGTCTAGGTTAAAACATAGGATATACAATATGAAATGTTTGTTTGTTGAATTTTGCGTAAAATTGCTTGATGGCTAGCTTATTAGCTGTTCCTAATTTTGAAGTGATAGACTAAAGAGAAGGCAGCTAGTCAACGCCACCCACTACCAACTGTTAGACCACTCTTTACCAGCTAATAGTGTGATTGCCTGCACATTATAACGCCCCCACGGCTAAAAGAGTGAGCATGTTCGGTGACGAGATTCGATCCCACGGCCCACAATCGAGCGCCCTATCCACCATGTTGTAGCAGACCTTACAACATACTTAATTTGTCTCGAATTCCTGTAAACTTTTAATTCATGTACTGACCATCACAATAGTTGTAATTTGTGATTTTTAACGCAAAATAGTTAATTATTAAAGTGTATATGCTTGTGCTCTTAGAAGTAACAACAATAGTTATATATAATAATCTGGCAAAACTTGAAAGAGTTTCACTAAACTGCTTTAGCACTACTAAATAATAAAACCACCAACAAAGAGAAATTTTATAATATTGTCTTGATGAAAGCAATTTCAAAACACAAAACCTTCATGTATATATTTAAGTAACTTATCTAATTGAATGCATAGGACGAAGAATATATATAAACATAATATGAAGTTTTAAATAGTGAGAGGACCCCAAAAATTCTCGCATAATTGTATGAAGACATTAATGGATTTTATTAATGTTCACTTCAAACTATAAATTGTTCTATAAGTTCGTGGTTTTAGACGAGATAGGCGTGGTAACATTATTAAAATTCTAATTTATCTAGATATTTGTAATTGCTTACCCGTTCTTCAATTTCCTTAGCTTTTCGATCTACACCATCACTTTTAGACTTGCACGCCCTCTGGTGGACAGGTAGGCGTTCTGGAAAAAATGTTCGACCACAATTAGAGCACCGAACGAGTTGAGCTTGAAATGCTTGCCATGAGGCGTCATTGTTCTGGTCACATGATACAGTACTGTCACAGTCTGGCTTTTCAGGCTCTGGTTGTCTTTGCTCTGGAGGTAGGTCTTCATTTGCAGTTCGCCACTTCTGTAAAACAGAATCAAATAACTTGTTGTTGTTGTTTTTTCATTATCCAAATATTAAATACAAAGGACCTGATCATTCATATTTTTTCCAGAAAGACTTCAAGGTGTAAAAAAAGGTTAGGTAGTTTTCTCTATAAAAATAAATGATAACTTAAATTATTCTAAATGATGAATAATACAAAAAATAAATACATTGCTACAACACAAATTTTACAATAGAATGGTAGTAATTTATGAACATATCTTATAGGCAACTAAAGCATTGCCAAAATCCCTTTTTACATATATTGGACCCATTTAGAAAACAAATGTGGATAGTGTATTAAAGGAAAATTTGACCATACGACTAAAGCAAGTCCTAATGATAACTTTTGTTACCGAAAAAGTGTTGCCCATTCTATAATATCTTTGCTTGTTTTCTAATATATATATATATTAACTTATAAAATGTTTTCTATCAGATGTTGTATACACGTTATGGAAAAGTAAATAATATGTAATATTGAATTTTCTTTTTTGACAAATTACGAGTCTATTTTGCTCGCGTTTCTCTACGTACAGTCAATGGTGAGCGTAATTAGTTGTAAACACTGTGTTGTAACGTTGTTCTTTCGTTACCAGTTTCTTTTAGATTATCTGAAAATGTTCAGTCCACGTAACAATAATAAATTATTTTATTTCCTCCTTTAACGTTTCTACAAACTTGAACACTGCCGTAAGTTGCTGTGCGCCTACGTAACGCAAAAAATAAAACAAGTCAACTTATTTGTACAACGTAACCGCGATTTCTAACACACTGACTGATTCACTATCTGTCTTGAAGTACTCTCGGTACTTTACAACTATCTCGTAATTATAATCTAGCTTCGAATGTGCAATATCATTTTAAGTCTGTCTCATCCTTAGAGTTTTCCAGACGTTCTAGGCCTATCTTATCAAACCTTCTGATCTTAATTTCACCATTATGATCCGCAGACCTTTCTTGTTAACATTTAAATTACAACATTAATATTATAGATTACAATTGATTACAGCAATTGGATAAACTCTTCTCAACTGGCAAAATATGTTCTACGTGTTATATTCTTATATCCTGTTTCTCCACTTACAACAACAGAAGAAACTACTTGAAGTCGCTTCTATAGGAAAAATACTGAATATTCAAACATAGAGCAATACAAAATGCCATGTATCTAACCAACAGGGCACGTGACGTTCAAAGAACATATTTTTTCTTCTCATATACACATACCTTTTCAGAATGAAAGCTAGATTCGGGACATAATTTTTTCATCTGCGTTTGAAAAGGTTTGATGAAACAGAATATCTGCAATGTTCCTTGGCTGCTTTTATCAAAACTGTTGTTGTAGATTGTATTTTCGATAATTTTCTTGTTTTTGCTCATTAGAGGGTGTTTTTGTTTACGTGGTGAGGTCTCGAAAATTCATTAAAGTTTAGATCTATGTAGAATCTAAAATCTTCTCATAATACAGAGAAAATGATAATGTTACGTCTCCGTTCGTTAGTTGATTTTCCGTAACTTCGTTCCCACGAAACTTTAGCGACACAAGTCCTTTCTTAATAAAACTGGTTTATTCTTTCCGAATACAACTTTACGATACACTCAACTTCAACAGTCGCGCTATAACAAACTATAATAACGACGTTAACTTCAACAATACTTTCTGACGTTCAATTACTCATTACCTACACACATTGTCCCGTCACGTTGTGACCATCTTATATATACCAGACTACCCTGTATCTAGTAAATGCTAGGGCATTCACGAAGGAACAAGATCTTTCTAGAAACGTGGCGTGACACTAGTCACGTGACCTCGCTGACGCAACAATAATATAAAAATACCAGATTGAATAAGTTAAAGTTAGTTAATCAGTTTAGTGTCAGTTAGTAAGTTAGTCGGCATATTTGTTATCGATCGAGTAGTAAGGAAATTCTGCAAATAAGTTTAAGTTAAATGTAACATTAGTCTCGAAATTGCTGTTCAACAAATTGTGAAGCTACACCTACTAGCGAACGTAACATGTAGCTTTTATAGAATGTTGTTGAAGAAATAAATTACTTTGTTATCGTTAAGTGTATTGGACTTACATCATTTTTTTCCAAATAATCCAAAAGAACTGAACTGAAGTAAGGTATATTTACCATAATCTCTTAAAATATTATTAGAGATAGACTCATTTTTTCAAAAATCTCAAAAATGTGATAAATTTGAGCACCGTAAACAGAGGCGGCATTCAATCTCTTCCTGATAAGGAAGCTGAGGTGGGCTAGACAAAAAAGAAGAAAAGAGAGGCTGTACAAAATCGTAAGCGTGTATGTACTGTAGTGTTTACGAAGTGAAACAGACAAATAAAACCTTCGAACTTTTCCTTCGATACGGGGGCTACAGAGAAGGCTGAGGCATATTTTGGGGTAGCTTCAGCCCCAGCAACCCCCCTTATAGTCCTCCGTGACCATGAACGTTCTTAACCACATGGTATAAAGTAAACACCATAATGAAATCTATTATGTATAAGATTAGTAAAAATTATTAATTTAAAAAGGGAGAATAGGGATCGTCAAAAAAGTACAGAAACAAGTTGAATTAAAATGCAAAGATTATATTTTCAAGCCTACAACTAGAGACTCTAAATAAGTAAACAAGCTAGGCTAGAAATAGCTACAAATCTCTATTCTGACTTCATGTCTACAGTACTTATCAATTTTAGTAGAGTCAAAATAGGGAATTGTAGCTTGAGAAAATAATGTAGACATTATTTCCAGCCTTGTTTGTCTCGATCCCTATTCCCCCCTTTTTAAATTAATAATTTTTACTAACGTTGCTTATTAAGTTTTTCGTGTCCATTTAGGGATAATAAATGTTAAGCTACATACGTGCATATGCGTTCAGTTCGCTGTTACATGTTTTTCAACAGTTTACTACTGCATTGGCTTTTTCACCACCCAACCTCCACACTGAAGTTATTCAAAATAAATAAAAATGTAGAAAAAGGAATAAACACGTGTACTGGTATGCAACTACAGCAAACAAAATGTAAAGTTGTTCTCAAAGGACCCTCTTATAGGCTAAAATTGTATTATCACATATTTAATGACCAGCTTCTATCAATGTCTAATAATGGCTGGAGACCTGATGATGAGAAAACCTTGTCGAAACGTTGTACACTTGCTGTTATGTTAAACTTATATTAAAGTTTTTCTTCATTACCAATTCAAGCCGTCTCCAGCCATTATTAGTCTCAAAGTGGGTTCCTCGTCATCGAATTTCTATCAATGTCAAAGTGTAATGTAACAAAAGACGAGCAGCAACAAAGCAATCTTATCAAAATCTAATAATGTTTCCTCTAAGATAATACAACACAGATTAATGCAATGTAAACAGACTCAGTAACATGTTTACCTTGTTAGGTCTACATGACACATATTTACATTCTTCAACAACTTTCTTTGTATAAGTGTTTGTTAGAATAAGGCGACACAAATAATACATGCAAAATAGACAACAGCAACACACTTAGCGTACATCAGCATTTATCGATAACATTTACAACCGCTACCTTAACACCAACTATTTCAAAATAGCAATAGCTATATGAAATAGTGCAATATGCTGTGGTAATAAATATTGATTATGCACTCCCGATTTCAGCTGAGTGCAAGAAACAGTAGAAAGAATCACCACCCTCGTCTGAGTATGGAAATCTACTATGTTAATCATCCAAAAACTTGCTGAAATATAGTCGTGGAAATCCACGTAGAGGCAGCAAACTCGAGTAATGATGAACAATAGTGACTCGAGTAACGATATGCAACAGCAAAATCTGGAATCTTTCACGTGGCAGTTTCCGATTAATGCATTAGAAAGTGGGCGAGTTGTAGTTTCCAACTAACATGCACGCTAGGAAAACACCGGATTTTTTCATGGTGGAAAGTGAAAGACTTAGAAAATTTCGCAGCACGACAAAATTAAGGAGATTGAATTAAGCTTAAAAGTACTATCTCAGTTTTTTGTAAAACTTCTGTGAAATCCCACGCTACAGTAGATATAACTTGCAATATCTATATAATGTAGTCATAATAAGGATTTGTAGCTTGCGCAAACTGTCAGCAGTAGATCTCCAACTTTGTTTGCTTACTCTCTTTTGTTTTTTGCGATCTATATTTGTAGATTTTAAATTTTGAATTTTTAATTACCTAGTATGCTGGCTTTGTTAATGCACAGAAATGAGCAAATATATGCCTAGAGTAAGACACGACCCTCACTAAGCGCGTATAACATTTTACCAGTAAAAAAGCAGCCTTTTCAAATATAACAAATAGTCTAAAACTTCCTGTCTTTTTTAAAGTAGTTATTTCCGAGCCGTGTGGCTTTGTGCCTGAGGTTTCGTGTAAGCACGCATTTAACACGCGTCCAGTACAAAGGTACCCGCTCATAACAACATCCTCTCTATTATGTATTTATAACCACGTAAATCAGCTTTCAGTGAAAAATAACCAACTTTTAAGTAGGTCATTAACATTCACAGCGTTTCATATAGTATATCTGTCTAGGTTTTGGTGTAAAACACCCAGCTGATTTTATTGTAGACGTGTGAAACAATAATAATAATAATAATAATATGAACAAATGGGCACATTTTGACTTTGTTTAACAATCGTGAAATCGTGGTATTAACTATTGAAAATGGAGGTTTTGTGTGTTGTTTCAAGAATAAGTCTGTTTTTTAAGGTGGTTTTTGCTCGAATGTTTTATTAGAGTTTTGGGCAAATTCCTGTGTGATCCCTATTATGACCCACCATCGTGGCTCATGATACTATAGCTTATAAAACAAGCCTAATGACGATAATTAAACTATTCCTATAAAAAACAACCACCTGAGTTGAAACTAAGGCGAAGAAATTTAAAGTAGAAGAAAATCCTCGATCTCCTATAAATATTGAAGTCAATTATAACAATTTTACTAAACAAAGTAATT